TAGGAATTGATGGTGCGATTGACTGTACACACATACGATTAACATATACAAGATTCGAAGGTCTTGACGAAATTTATCGTAATAGAAAAGGATATTTTTCGTTAAATGTACAGGTATGTATTTGTACATAATTAACAGGGTTAGGAAGTAACGCGTTACTTGTAACGACGTTACTATTTTGTTACTTTTTTTGGTAACGATTTGGTAACGCCGTTACTTTTTTGTATCAGTAACGAAAAAGTAACGGCGTTACATTTTCTTTAGTAACGAGTAACGAAATTCATCGTTACTTGTATCGTTACTTTTTTACTATAGTGACTTCTGTACACAGAACGCGGCAACGCTTGCCACGCGACGAAAGTTTGCACACGATAAACAATTAATGCTGCTTTCCGTAAAGCCCATTCTACAATAAGCAATAAATCTTAAGTCATAGTAAAATTGACCAATCATAGTCGACTATGAGAAGAATAATTTACCGTAATTGGTCAATTTTATTGCAACTTAAAACTTATTGCTTATTGTAGAAAGCCTCTAGCTTCTAAAGCGTGGCCTACAATGAGAACTTAAGCCATAAAATTTAAGCTTTAAGCTCTAAGCCGTAAGAAATTGACCAGTCACACAGTCAATTATTTTTCTTATAATTGACTGTGATTGATCAACTTCTTACGGTTTAGGACTTAAAGCTTAAACTTTATGGCTTAAGTTCTCATTGTAGACCACGTTTAAGGGGCGCCGCACACGAATTGACATAACAATAACGTACCGTAAGAACTGACCAATCACTTTAAGTATCGTCGAACCGTAAGGTCGCCATTTTTGTGAATATTCGATTGTAATTGGTCCATTTTTACGGTACGTCTTACGTTACTGTTATGTCAATTCGTGTGCGGCGCCCATTCTATATTACTCGCAATCGCAAAATCGCAAAGAAATTGACCAATCATAATTGATTATTTTTCGATCGCAAGAAGAACAATCGACTATGATTAGTCAATTTCTTTGCGACCTTGCGATTTGCGACTAATGTAGAATGGGCTTTATGTCGTTATGCAAGAATGTATGCTTTCTGCTTAAATATCTTACATTTTGCCTTTATATATGTATAATTTATCTACTGTTTCTCTTACTATTCGTTTTATAAGCCGATTTTAACTTTTTTTTTTACAAAAGTAACGGAAAGTAATGATTTTTTTATCGTTACTTTTCGAATAACGGTAACGCGTTACTTTTTAGAATCAGTAACGGATAACGGTAACGAGTTACTTTTTACCGCAAGTAACGGTAACGGTAACGCGTTACTTTTAAAAAGTAATGTTCCCAACCTTGATAATTAATAATAATACGATGTTTAGAATGTAGTGATAGAATGTAGTTTAGAATGTAGTTTAGAATGTAGTAGACTATTTCAGACTGTAATAAGTTTCAATATTACTGATTTCTACAAGTGTATTATACACTTGATATTTTATTTTCAGAGAAAAGTTACAATTTTCTCTCAAACTTGTTTTTACATGAAAACATGTAAATTAGCTCAAAGTTAATTAGTTAAACTCTAAGGTAGGCACTACATATCATAAATATTTAAAATAGTTATTAACTATTCGTTATGCTTTCAAGACATTTCATAATAATTTTTGTAGACTGTAGTTGGACCAAGAATGGAATTTCTAGATATCGTACCTGAGTATCCTGATAGCCAACATGATAGCAGAATCTTCCAAAATTCAAGGATACATGCACAATATATACAAGGTAGATTAAATGGAAAATTGGTTGGAGATTCTGGATATCCTGCTCTAGGTAACACATTAGGTAACACTTCAGATCCTATTTCATTGTTTGCCATTTCTTTAGGTGTATCGATTTCAATCACCTTCATAAATTGTTCAGTACTGTTCATGCTTATATGTTCCAAAATATTGTCTTCTGCATCTAAAATTCAATAATTATTTAAATAAAATTTTCTTAAGATTTAATCGTTTATATTAATGATTAAAGCAATATTGTGAAATAAAGTAACAATATAAAAGACAATACTATATAAAACAAGATATTCTCAAGAATTTGCTTATATCTAAAGACAATCTTATTCATGGACTATGAATACGTATGGTCTTAAGATGATCTTCACGAAATAAGATGATCTTTATTAAGACAATCTTAAGTATAGCCTTGAGGCTCGACTATGAATACCGCCCTATGTGCTCCCCGCTTAACTCAAAAGTTACTTGACCGACTCAACTTGACATACATAGCCCATCTATTCGATAAATATTCATCAATATTCGATCACTGAATTACTCAAATTATGTCGATTTCATGAATACCGGATTATTCGTACTTTATCTTTTCATATGAGAGACACAGGTGCCAACAGCCGAATAAAAATTCATGAAAACGACCCTGCAATTAATTCGCGTTCTCAATGAAACGTCGTAGATCATTTATAAACGCGGGTATCGGCCATGGACGATCGAGCGGACAATTTCGAATTTTCCGCGTTTGCGTGCTCGACGCGAGTGCTCGTCGCGAGATGGCGGCGCGACAGCCGCACGGTTTTCGACGCGAGTCGCCCGCCTCTGTATCGATCCCGCGAGGGATCGCAGGCCAGTCTCGCGGTAACAACAACTCGGCATGCATTGCGTCACGAAGTGCTGCGGCCGTCCTCGTTATCTTTAAATCGCGCTCGCAACGGCAGAGTCTTGTTTCCGGAGTGAGCGACGAGGAATATGCGCCACGTTCTGCTCGTTTCCTGACTGACGTCCAGACATCTCGAAGGTAAAGCATCCTCCGCTATCCGCGATGCGTTTGCGTCACGTCACGTCTCGTCGCGTCGCGTCTCGCCGTTCGACGCGCGTCGCGTCCTCGTGATTGCCGACTGCGTTCCGTGCACAGGCTTCCGTGTATTTCACCTTTTGTGTTGACCTTGATGCGCGATAGTTTATCAAGCCCAATGGCGATCTCGTCGTGACCCACGTGATCAGCGCCGATATAACAGAGCGCATTGTTTACGCTTCTTATCGTGTCGCCATGGTGATTCGTGCGCTGTCAAGCGCGGTTAACCACGTGGTGCACGATTCCGACGCTACGTGTTGCTCGAAATCACCGCCTCGCGAATATATTGGTGTATTAATGTGTTATATTATTTTTTTATTTTATACTACCATCGATTTTCTCTCTCACAAACTCTTCTTGCCTATAATATATATTATATACTCTATAATAAATTATGTATATATATATATATATATATATATATATATATATATATATATATATATATAT